TGCTCATCATTATCACTTACATGAGCATTAAACGTTGAGTTTATGGTGTTTCTATATTCATATGCAACAACTAAACTTTCATACATGTAATTCCATCTAGTTGGACAAGGTTTAGGAACCTTTCTTTCGGCCCGTTTAGAAGGTTGTCTAGAAAAAGTAAGGGTAGTAATAGGGGGTCAACCGGGGCATCATTGGATTAGTTGGGTTAACTTCAGCAACAAGACTAGTAGGTGTATCATCATCCGGTTGCGTTTTATCCAAATCTATTTGCTGCTCATCTTCTTCATCAATAGTTGGATTACCATAAAGAGAATTCATATATTCATGATCTAAGTGTTCACTACCTCCAACATTATGCACATATTGACTCTCATTAAATTGTAATAAAGTATTATCACTATCAAGAATAGGAGCAGGTGGAGGGTGTGTATGGGGTTTGGGTAGGGGAGCCCGGGGAATTAGAGGAGGAATAGATTGGCCACTAGATTCACCACTCTTGGATTTTTCCTTATGTTTACTAATTATTTTTTTAAGGAATAGGCCATCTTAATTATAATTATCCAAAGTAAATAAAACAAACAAAACTATAATATTAAAACCAAAGAGTTGGAACGAGTTTACCGAATTGACGAACAACTTGTTGAAAATTAATTATCATTGAAAACTTGAATACTTCAATTCACCAACTTCACAATTTTTCACAGAAATTGCAACAATAAAGTAACCAATTATAGAAGAAAATTAGAGAGAGATTGATGATTTTGTGAGAAAAATGAAAGAATGAGGGGGTATTTATAGTTGAAAATAGGGAAAAAGTGTAATTATAAAAAGTTTGGGGTTAAAACAAAGTTGCGGAGGGGGGAGGGGTTAAATGGCTATTTTACAAAGCCCAAACGGCTATTTTTGCAGGCCAACGACCATATTTTAAACCCCCAACAGTCAGAAAATTTTTTGGATTTTTTTTTAAATTTAGCCCTTGGGCCCGCTTGAGCCCGTTTGGGACCGGTTGAACCGGCCCACTTAGAACCTCATCCCGGGCCCAAATGGTCTGTCCTAACGGGCTTTTTAACGTAACCGACCCACTTGGCAGGCCCACCTCTGGTCCGGGGCTTAAACGGTTAGGCCCGTTTAGGCCCACTACCCATATGGGCTCGTGGGCCTGGCCCGATCTCGGCCCTAACCGGCCCACATGCCAGCCTTAGCGGCAGCCAAGTCCTACCTTGACTTCAGTCTTCTCACAACACTCGGCCAAAATTATAGCAACTTTGAACTTAGAATATTTTTAGGCAGCTTTAACATAGAAAATTTAGGAATTGATTTTGGAAATGAAATTTAGTAAAGACAACAGAAAATTAACAAGAACACAAGGCACAATTACATGAAACTCTTTTCCCAACTTTGTATTTAGCGCATACAAAGAAATTCAACTCGAAGTACAATGCCGTATACAAGAAGATCACTCTTGACCCTCAGATTTTCTCACAAAACTACTCTTAGCCTTAGATGTTTTCATCTTGAAAACAGACTTTAACATGCACTCATACATATTTTTCTCTCCTTCCCCACAAGCATAAGGATGCTGCCCATTTATAAAACATGAAACAACCCCTTTGCCTTACACTTGTCGCACTTAGGCTTAGACACTTGTCTCACACAACCCACTATTTTAGCCTAGTGTAGCTGACATCACCCAACTACTAGGATCATGTAGATCATGCTAATAATAATGGAATCATAGCCCCAAAAACATGCTAACAATTTTGCCAGCTTTTAGCAAAAGCCAAATGCTGCCCATGTGCACAACATGTGTCGTGTAACCGCCCTTGACTTGGCCAATCTGAAGCTTGCTTCCCATGTGCGTGCCTTGGCCTGAATCAGACGCCAATGCCTTGTAGCCGCATTTTCCCCATGCTATTACCCACGCACATAGCCTTTTGATGCACCCCAATGTCATGATAAGTCTGCCTTGCGCGCATGCCTTTGCCCATTTCGTTTTTGCCTTGCCTTGGCATCACTACTGCATGCTTTGATGCCTTAATGCGTTGGTCATCACTTTCATGTTTCCCTTTTTGCCTCGGTGCTACTCGTACACCTTAGCTTGGCAACATTCTTGCTTCCCATGACAGTGCTCTCGTTGTCATGCCAAGCTCAAAGAGGTGGAGCCCTAACAGTAATATAAGCTAACTCAATTTAATATAGAATCTGGATTGAATGTGGGATGGTAATGCTTTTGTGTCTGTTATTGGTACCATGACTTTCCATGTATCATAAGTATGATGTTAGGTCATTTGATTTAAGCTTCTAAGTCGACTCAGACGGGGATCTTACATAAATAGCTGATCGTATTCTGTTTACTTTTCCTAGTCAGTAAACATGAATTTGTCTACCTTGCCCAAGTCCCGTGGTCAACCAAAAAAAGAAAGAAAAAGGAAAACATTTTGTTGCTCACTTAAAGTTAGGGTGGCAAAATTGTTTAAAAAAATAGTTAACCACCCATATTTTCCACTAAGAATGAGTTGGTTAATAAACTTTGTAAAAACGGGTCAAATATGGATAAGAACATATTATCCATTTAGAAAATAGATAACCAATGGATAACTAATAAGTTCAACTCTTACATTTGTAAAACCTCAAATTGAAGATTTCTCAACTTTGGGAGACTAGTAATTCTCCCAAAAATGATCATATTGATGAAGCCATGGATAATATAGCTACCCATATTATATGTTGGTTAACTCATTTCTTATCTGTATTAAATATGGGTCTGGTACGGATAATTAATCCATTTTTTCATGACCCATTTTTGACCCGTCCCATATCCGACCCGATCCTCTTGTTTGTCACCCCTACTTACAGTACACTGTCGCCTCCACCAATACGTACTCCATCTCTGTCAATGCTTCCACCTATGCCAACGCATCGTATTCAGAGGCGGACCTATGTGTGTGGTAAGGGGTCATCGGACCCCGTAAATCTCGGGAACATTTCTACATATATATGTATGTATACCTGGAGAAACTGTTTTATACTAAGTTAGGCACCCTGAAACACTAAAATTTGCTTGGAGCACTGGCCGAGTCTGTTATTTGCTTATCAGTTTGGTGGAATGTCCGGGGTTCGATTCCTCACTGCCTCTCCTTCCTTAAGGTTTTTATCTTTTTAGTTGAACACTAATTGCAACCCAAATTTTTTCTTTCTAGGTTAACTTTTCATTTTTTTAATTTAGGCAAAATATCTTAAAGCACCCCAAAATTTGGTGCCGATTATTAGTTTCCTCCCCAAACTATGCCTACTCCTAATTACCCCCCTATACTTGAATAAGTAAATTTAACTACCCCTCGGTCTACCACATGACATAGCAAGTGGTCTGAGACAACCTTTGACGCGTGAGAGCGTATAAAAAATGTCACCCACGCAACTCAAACGGTAAAAGCCCCCAAATTAACGATTTCCTTTATTTTTTCCATCTTTCCCATGGCTATTCTTCCTATTTCTTCCTCGTTATAACTTTCTCCATTAAAGCACAATTAGTGTTCTTTTTTTTTCCCGATGATTGTGATTTTTCTTCTTTAATGGCAAAAGTTCTTAGACACATTTCTTGGTTTTCTTTCCAATTTATTTCAAGATATTGAAAATGAACCCACTTAGTCGATCGAAGACCCGCCACAGTTAGAATACTACTTCACTTTATTGGAACTCACCCACACTGATTAAATACCCAAACAAACAAAATATAAACGGAAACTTATTGAAAATTATTTAGTGAATTTTTTTGAGATTTATTGAAAAATCGAAGGGGAAAATGGGAGAACCATTTAAGGGATTTTAGAAAGAGAAGAGTTTGGACAGAATGATTAATTTAGCTGTCCTTTTAGTTTAGGTTTTAGTCCGCTTTTCTTTTTCATTTTTTTCTTCTTTTTCTTAGTTTTAGTATAGGTAATATAAAATATACCCATTATTTCGCCTACGTGGGTATACACTTAACCAAGGTGTATGAGATCGAGGGGGTATTTAATTTCATTTATTCAAGTGTAGGGAGGTAATTCAGACTAGATATAATTTGGGAAGGAAACTAATAATTTGTGCCAAGTTTAATAATGTTTTAACGTATTTTGCTTTTATTTGTTTTTGCCTGTCACTTTAGGTCCACCTACCCACCCCAAACACACCCCACAACCCAAATTTGTTTTCTTTTTGAGTTTTGATTAAACTCCTCCCCTAAAAAGCTCCAAATCACACTTGTTTTTTCCCGTTGCTAAGAAGGTGTTTGGTTAAACTTATAAGCCAGTTAAACTTATAAGAAATTTTTGGTCTTTCTATGTATTTGGTAAACATCTAAAGTGTTTATAAGCTAAAATCAGCCATAAGCCATAAGTTGGTCACCCCCAACTTATGACTTTTCAGTTTATAAGAACTTTTAGTTTGACCAAGATTTTTACTAGTTTATTCTTAATAATATTTTTTCCAAAATAAAATGTTCAATTTTCTCTTTGTTCCATATTCGTTGTTTATCATTTTCTCTACAAAGAAACTTTTTAATTCATAATTTTTTGTAAAAAAATTTAAGGTTATTTTAATCTTTTTAACAAAAGAACATCTTATAAGCACTTTTCTACTAAACATATCAACTGCTTTTTGTCAGTTTTAATACGTGTATCCAAACACATAAATACTTTTAAAAAAATCAATTTCAGTCCAAACGGGCCCTAAGAACAAAACTCAGAATCCCTTTTACAAATTTCAAACCCAACTTCACCTCAAATCACTCACGCAATGTCAGTCATCACCGGAAGTTTGCCGGCATCCGCCGAGACCCAAAAACTACAGGTGAAGTCCTCACCTCCGTCTAAATTAAAGATAGTAGTGCCCCCTCCATTTTTAAATCCTGGGTTCGCCTCTGAATTCGTATCCAGAACCATGAATGTATTGACAAGGGGAAAAGAGCGATGGAGAGATTGAAGAAATGTAGTTGGCTTAAGGTAAGAACCTAACTGCGTGTGCTTTTTAAGGGGAAGATATTTAGAAGAAGTAATTTTTGCGCACTGTTGTATTCGTATACTCTTGTGTTGTTATTTGCTAAGTACTTAATGAAATACTGAGAATATTTAAATCAAGTGGTCTGGAGAAGCAGAAACAAATAAGTTTATGTATTAGATTATGGGAACAACACTCTGGACACCTTTGGTTAAGCCCTTCCCCGGACACCGCGCATAGCGGGAACTTAATGCACCAGGCTGCCCTTTACTATGGACACCTTTGGAGCTAAAGACAAAAGCTTTTCAGTTTTGAGCTTCAGTGCTAATGTGCAAGTTAGAGAGGTAAAGTATGTATTAAGCCTTAAAAAAGTTGACAACTTGTTACCTATCCAAAGAAAATGACAATTTGTATGTGATACAGTTCAATCTTACTATTTGTCATGCTTGCCAATTCAAGTGTATATTGAGTACATGTTGCTTCATTCGCTAATCTGTAGATCCTTTATTGCAGAAGTATAAAGAGAGAGATGGCTGCATATGTTGCACTGACTTCTCTAATCGGAACGATACAACAGCTTCAGCTTTTGCATTCAAACTTAAATCTAGGGGACACTAGTTTGAAAAGTTTGAATTTACTCTACGAAAAGGTTGATTCTCTGCACGAGCTCCTTGATAATTCTGATGCTGAACAAACGGAGAATTTGCACGCTGAAGTCAAACATATAGCAAATGAAGTAGAAGACGAAGTTGAATCACAGATGCAAGTGGTAATGGATGAACAACATGACGGACTACATCAACAGGAAGCCCTCGAGAATCTTTTTGAGATCTTACAACGAGCTATAGAAAAGGTGGATTCCCTCAAGGAAGGACTCATCAAACACAGTCAAAATAACAATTTGCAAGCTGGAAATTCCTCGCTTTGTGATTCAAGTTCACCACGATTGCATGCTCCAACCCTTGAGAACGATATGGTGGGGTACAACATTGAACAAGCAGACATGCTGAGTCAACTTACCGGAGGCTCAACTCCATTGGAAGTCATCTCAGTTACTGGTATGGGTGGCATTGGTAAGTCAACTTTTACCAAAAAACTGTCTTCTCATCCCGCAGTTTTGAGCTTCTTTGATATTCGTGGATGGGTTACTGTGTCTGAGGACTATAGTTTTAGAAAGACGCTTTTAGGCCTCCTTAAAAATGCTAATATTGCGAAGGAAGAAGAGCTTGAAAACAAAAGTGATCAAGTACTAGCAGATCGCTTGAAGAAAGGTTTAAAGGGTCGAAGGTATTTGATTGTTGTG